GGGTGCCCGCCCTTGAATATAAAACATCTCATCAGAAGCAGTCTTTAGGTTTTTGCTCCAGACACAGGGCCGGATCTAACCAGCTTTTTCGTGCCATCTCACGCCCACCCCCCCAACTCTCCCAGCCTCCTGTAGCCCCCCTCCCCCAAACCAACTCAGGTCCAAAAATCCCCAGGAGAGACCTTCTAGGGATATCCACGAGGGACCTCCCCTTCCTTTTTCACCAGCAGGTAAGCTAGCCAGATCCAACCCACAGTCAGAGGAACTTCACTAATGAAAAAGCATCAATCTACAGCTCCGTTCCCAACCTTATTTTTTTTGCTCTTAAAATGAGGTCAATACGGTCTCTTTAGCAGAGGTGTGTTTACGTTGCCCTCTAAGCTGCTTGGCAGAAAAACAGTGAAAGCTTCCACATTGTTTTCTGTATGTCAGGTTGATAAACCGATGTCTAAGGCTGCGCTCCTTTGTGCCTATTTACCTGGAAGCAAAACCTGGGAACTGCACAGTGGCTACTGTTATGCGCTTGAGCCGGACAAATTAAATTAAACAGGAGTGTAATGTGAATAATCCCTTGATTTATAACTTTAACCATGAGCACACCTTTTGGAGTTTAACCAATATGTTATTATTGCCCCTCCCCGCTTTTACCCATCTTATGTACTCTAACCATCTCTTCTTGACTTCCACAATCTTATCCTCACCTAACTTTTCCTGTTTTAATATTGTTAATATGTCCAACTGTATCCATTCATATAAGTAATCATTCCATCTGTCTATACTCCATTTTGTAGCATCTTTCCAGCCAAACCCGCATGGGCAGCTAAAATCATAGCTTTAAATAAATCCTGATATGGTTTTTCTATTTTTGTTGTTGTTGTTCAGTCGCACAGTCGAGTCTGACTCTTCGCGACCCCATGGACCAGATCATGCCAGGCCCTCCTGTCTTCCGCCGTCCTCTGAAGTTTGCTCAATTTCATGTTCGTTGCATCTATGACACTAACCATCTCATCCTTTGCCGTCCCCGTCTTCTTTGACCTTCAATGATTCAAATGTAAAATTTTCTATTTTACAGTTTCCTAAAATCCCCATGAATAATATTTTCCCTAGTAAGTCCACTTTAACCTTACATACTTCCTCCAGGATCTCCGGCCAAACTGGCCTGGAGAAAAATTGCTTCCTGACCCCAAAGTGGACATCAGCCTTTTCCCGAGCATGTAAGGAAGGACCACAAGATGCCAGCATTTCTTTCAGAAGCCCAAACATATCACGTTTAACTGTAGTGCCTCTCACATGGAAAAAAATAGAAGAGGCATAACAATTAAACAATTCCTCCCTTCCTCCAGCCTGGCTTTGCTTCCCACCCATCGTGTCTTTCTTGCCTGCTTTCTGGAGGAAGAGCGGGATTTGCAAAAAATAAATAAATAACAAAAATTGATTGTTTCCCCTCACAACAGGGGAAGTGGCCGGCAGCAATTCCTGGAGAGTGAGGAAGCGCAGCCCTGATTTGAAGCCCCATGTGGGTTGTGCGATTTCTCAGTTTTCAAATGTTTAGGGAATCTCTCCCTGTCTTATTTAGTTTTTCCCTGAAGTCCAAGGAGAAACAAGGTGTGACACTCCTGAGCAGCAAGTGAAACTAAAGGCCACAGAATGTCCCACCAAAGGGGCTGCTCAGTGGCAGCAGAGCATCTGCTTGACATGTAGGAGGCCCCAAGTTCAGTCCCCGACATCTCCAGGTCAAGAGAGCCAGTGATGTGAAGAAGAGATTGAATTTATACCCCATGGCCCTTCACTCCCCAAGGGAGTCTCAGAGCAGCTTACAAACTCCTTTCCCTTCCCCTCCCCACAACAGACACCCTGTGAGGTAGGCGGGGCTGAGAGAGCTCTGACAGAAATGGCTCTTTTTCAAGGACAGCTCTTATCAGAACTATGGCTTGCCCAAGGTCATCCAGCAGCTGCAAGTGGAGGAGTGGGGAATCAAACCCAGTTCTCTCAGATTAGAGTCCGTGCAGTCAACCACTACACCAAACTGGACCCTCTGCCTGAGGCTCTGGGGAGCAGCTGCCTGTCGAAACAGGCAATACTCATTCTGGCAGACCGCTGGCTTGACTCGGCGTGAGGCAGCTTCGCATGTTCATGTGAGAGCTTCTCACGTACATAATTTGTTTCTGTGTATGTTTCTGGATGTAAGAGCTTCTTGAGCTGTGGTGCCGTGAGTGCCAAACTGGATGTGATGTGGGCAGCCATGTCTCTTTCCGAGCATCTCAGTTCCACAGTCAAACGTGTCCCATCAGGGGTGCGAGTCTCGATTTCACTCTGGAGGACGCTTGTGGGCGAGGGAAGCTCCACCCAGTCGCCACCCCGTCTTATCTCACTCGGCTCTCTTGCCTCACATTGTTGACTCTTCAGCTCAGCTTGTTTTAAGAATCCAGGGCGGCTGGGAGGAAAGCGTCTACAGCAGAGGAGCCCTCCACCACCACCACCACCACCACCAGGGAGGGACACGGAGACAGACTCAGCTTCTGTTAGCTTTGCGATAAAGATTAGACCCTCGTGGACTGTTTCATGTACCGATGGGGCAGTTATGTGCACCACAAACATCATCATCATTATCATCATTATTAATAATAATAATTGGATTTATTAATCGGCCCATCCCAGCTTGCGCCAGGCTCTGGGCAATGTACAAAACACAGTGCTGTAAAATACAAAACATTAAATTTACACACACAGCATTAGTAAAATCTGAGTGTACATAAAAATCCAAGATGGCGATTTCCGTATATTATTATGGGTCCTGGTTCTGGACGGCCAGTCCCTTAGTCTTCCGGGCAGGGAGAAGGGAACTCAGAATATGGGGGCGGCCTTCAGCCCTCTACGGAGGTGAGATAAAATGGGACCCAGAAGATGGCCCTGACTGAAGGAGGGGATCAGACCGGGGTCAGGGGAGGAAAGGGAATCCTGAGAAACTGAGTGCGGATGGAGTCACGGAGCTTTGCCACGCTCTTCACGGTTTTCCAGCTGCACGGTTTTCAGCTCAGCCCTGTGAAATGCCTGGAGATTCGGGGTGTGTGTGTAGGGATGCCAGCCTCCAGGTGGGACCTGGGGATCCCCCGGAATCACAGCTCATCTCCAGAGTACAGAGATCAGTTCCCCCGGAGAAGATGGCTGCTTCGGAGGGTGGACTCTGTTATGGCCTTGTGCCCACTGAGGTCCCTGCCCTCCCCGGGCTCTGCCCCCAAACCTCCAGGAGTTTCCCAAGCTGGATCCCACCCCCACCCCCACTGGTGGCCGGAGAGAACCTGGCAATCTGGGGGGGGGAGTGCCTATAAAGGGGGGGATTTTGGAGGGGATACCAGAGCGTATGGTAGACCATAGAGACCGCCCTCCTCTGAAGCGGCCATTTCCTCCAAGGGATCTGGGGGTCCAGGCCCCACCTGGAGGTTGGCAACACTGAATGTGCTGGTGCAGCAGTATTGGATCCAGCAAACCATCTTTTGTAGCATCATGCTCCGCTGCGAATATTCGTTCAGAGGTCTCTTTTGGGGCTTCCCTGTGCTCCTGGTCATGGCCACAGGCAGTGTTCCTTCTAAGCTGAGTGAGTGTGAGCTAGCTCAGTTTTTCAGCCTCCAGCTCACACATTCTTTGTCTCCGCTCAGGAAGGAGAGCTCCAGAGCAAAACTAATTCATGCAGCCGCCAAGTCGCTCGCTCACAACTTTAATGCCAGTAGCTCACAAAGTAGGATTTTTGCTCACAAGATTCTGCAGCTTAGAGGGACCCTTGGCGGCCACAGGTGGAGAGGCTTCCTGTTCGGGGGCACAGAGACATACATGACATGGGAAGCGCAGCAGTCTCCGTGGAAGCTGGCACCGGAGCGTTTGAATTAGAAATAATCGTTTCATTGTGAAATCTCTTTGCCCCGAGGAGATCGCCTTGTGCAATGTGCATTGTAGCCTCCTTGCCCTCTTGAAAACAATTGCACAGACTGAGCTCAAGTTAATTTTTTATTCATTCATTCATTCATTTGACTTATATCCCACCCTCCCTGCAAAGCAGTCTCAGGGTGGCTTACAAACTGTGTAAAAGCACTAAAACAAGAAGATTGATAAAATCACAATACAATCCTAAATATAATAAATTATAAAGTGTGAGTACAACTAATATAACGATGGCCGACGTTTGCAGCAATCACAATATGCAGACAGCTGGTCTGGGTTGCGTCAGGCTGTTGGTGGTATAATACTATCACTATTGATGTTACTATTGCCCTTGGTGTTGGGGCCAGGGCCTTGCTCTAAGTGGCACGACTCCCTATTTGAAAGCCTGGTGGAAGAGCTACTCTAAGTGGCACGACTCTCTAATTGAAAGCCTGGTGGAAGAGCTCTGTCTCGCAGGCCCTATTTTTTATGTGAAATGTAGAATTGTGTCCTGGACACGCATACCACCGTTCCTTCCAAATACTAGGATCAACATCTTCAATTTTAAATTTAACTCGCCTTTCTCCAGGTGTTTTGCCTGAACAGATGTTCAAACATGAGAGAATTATCTCACCAATACTCATAGCGGGTCTCACTGTGTATGCTCCGTCAGTCTTTGAATCAGACGCTGCATTGTGGTTTGTTTCCACATTTTCTTAGACCTCTTGAAAATGGGAGTGGTGGCTGAGGCAAAGAGTTGAACTCGTGATGTAGAATGGGGTCACAAGATTATTTATATTCCAGTATCTCCGTCTCCTGCATTTTCCATTCCATCTGGGATCCAGACAGGAAGCTTAGGGAATGTGTCATGATTGTAGATCTCAAGCTTCATTCCGAGAGCTCAGATTTCAACAGATTACAGAGTTACCAACAAGTGTAACGACAAATAGGCAAGTGAACAAAAAGCCTCCATTTGTTTAGCCAGCCACTTCTATTTCAAGGAGACATAGTTGCAGCACGTGCCGAAGAACAGTGGCTGATATCTTGCTCCAGGAAGGCTGAAATCCCTATTTTCACTTTGGCAGGGACGTCCTGTGGGATGAAGAGGCGGTCAGGCACAATCTGGAATAAGGAGAGAGAAGCATCAGAAGCAGAGGAACCCAAAGCGCCTGTGGACCAGAAGGAAGTGTCCACGATACCCGGTAGGAACTGCAAAAGCATATTTGACAAACACATGCCCTGGTTAGGCTGTCTAGCAGGTGACTGAACAGCTGGTCTTCCAGGACCAAACGACATGATGCGTCTGGACACGGCAGCTATGGGGGACCTGTTTGCCAAGCACTGCTGGGTCTGCGTTGGATCAGGCTTATTAGTATTAGCATTATTATTATTAGCATTTCCATGGTGTGGGGGGAGAGGCATCATCCTGGGTAGGCGCTGTGGCTCAGTGGCAGAGCCTCTGCTTGGCATGCAGAAGATCCCCAGTTCAGTCCCTGGCAGCATCTCCAGTTAAAAAGGACCAGGCAGGAGGTGATGGGAAAGACCTCAGCCTGAGACCCTGGAGAACTGTAAAGAGGGGCTGTGGCTCAGTGGAGGAGCCTCTGCTTGGCATGCAGAAGGTCCCAGGTTCAGTCCCCGGCAGCATCTCCAGTTAAAAAAGGACCAGGCAGTAGATGATGGGAAATACCTCCGCCTGAGACCCTGGAGAGCTGTAAAGAGGGGCCATGGCTCAGTGGGAGAGCCTCTGCTTGGCATCCAGAAGGTCCCAGGTTCAATCCCCAGCAGCATCACCAGTTAAAGGACCAGGCAGTAGGTGATGGGAAAGACCTCTCAGCCTGAGACCCTGGAGAGCTGTAAAGAGGGGCTGTGGCTCAGTGGAAGAGCCTCTGCTTGGCATGCAGAAGGTCCCAGGTTCAATCCCCAGCATCTCCAGTGAAAAAGGACAAGGGGAACAGGTGATGGGAAAGACCTCCGTCTGAGATCCTGGGGAGCTGTAAAGAGGGGCTGTGGCTCAGTGGAAGAGCCTCTGCTTGGCATGCAGAAGGTCCCAGGTTCAATCCCCAGCATCTCCAGTTAAAAAGGACCAGGCAGGAGGTGATGGGAAAGACCCTTCTCTGCCTGAGACCCTGGAGAGCGGCTGCCAGTCTGAGTGGACAAGACTGACCTCGATGGACCAAGGGGGGTCTGACTCAGTACAAGGCAGCTTCATGTATGTGATATCCATCTCCCAAGCCATTCCCTTGACTCAAGGCAATGGGGGAGATGTATGCATAGTGTTTAGTGAATGCATGCTGCCCCCAGTAGTGCAAATAATGCTCCCAGGACTGAATGATCTCAGGAAACATGGCTGAAGCCCTCCCCCCTGAACCTTCACCTTCATAGTAGATACAGGGAGAGATTAGTGCACCCTGGCTGAGTCAGTTTCTCATATCCAGACTGGGGGAACAGCAAGTGCTGAAATACGACTTCCAGTCTCCATAGTCAGAGGCGGCCCGTAGTGCCCATTGACACAGGAGTGGAGTTTTTTCCTCCTCCTCCTTCATGCAATCAACTATGTTATGGATACATAACACTGTTAAGAAATATTTGTGTGAACCAAGAAGGGGGGGGGGTGTTACGCAGTGATTGCCACAGCCACTTCTGCAATCACAGCTGGGGAAACTTCATACCCGCTGCACACAAGGAACTCCAGCACAGGCCTGGGGCTTCTGTCTGCTGCTGTTTTAACGCTTTTATGGCTACAGCTTCTGCAACTAATCACCGATATATGTCTGGCTGTTGTTTGGATGCATTTGATTGTTTGAGCGATTAATTGTAAATGGCTTTAACATTTTTATCCTGAAATGTGGACAGAAATGAAAGAAAGAAAGAAAGAAAGAAAGAAAGAAAGAAAGAAAGAAAGAAAGAAAGAAAGAAAGAGGGAGGGAGGGAGGGAAGAAAGAAAGAAAGAAAGAAAGAAAGAAAGAAAGAAAGAAAGAAAGAAAGAAAGAAAGAGGGAGGTAGGTAAGGAAGGAAGGAAGGAAGGAAGGAAAGAAAGAAAGAAAGAAAGAAAGAAAGAAAGAAAGAAAGAAAAAGAGGGAGGGAGGGAGGGAGGGAGGGAGGGAGGAAGGAAGGAAGGAAGGAAGGAAGGAAATTACATTGTTTCAGGCTGCAAGCTGTGCAAACACTTGGAGATTTGTGAGGGAATACCTGGGGGGAGGGACTTCGTTCCTCCTGGACTGAATGGTAAACTACAGAGTCTACCCTGCCTCGCTTCCCTGTGCTCCAGAGGAACTGATCTCCATAGTTCTGGAGATGTTACCAACCTTCAGGTGGGGCCTGGAGATCTCCTGGAATTACAACTGATCTCTAGGCCGCAGAGATCAGTTCCTCTGGAGCCAAAGGGTGCTTTGAAGGACAGACTCTCTATATTATGCTACGCTGAGGTCCCCCCCCTCCCCAAACCCAGCCACTCCCCGTTTCTACTCCTGAATCTCCAGAAACTTCTGAACCCTGAGTTGGCAACCCTGTTGAGAATCAATTGTAGTTATGGGGGAACCCCAGATCCCACCTGGAGGTTGGCAACTTGAAGCCCCTCTCCTGTCACTAGGTGCGCCAGGAGCTACAATCAGTGGCCAAGGCAAAAGCTATTGTGGGTGGCTGTGGTGGCTCAGAGGTTAAAATGCTGAGCTGCAGACCGGAAGGTCTGTACTTCGACAGTTCGAGAGCCAAGTGCTGTGTGACGGAGTGAGCACCCGTCGCTGGTTCCAGCTCCTGCCAACCTAGCAGTTTGAAAGCAAGAAATTGCAAGTAGATAAATAGATACCGCTTCGGTTGGGAAGGTAACAGCATTCCGTGTGCCTCTGCATCTAGTCATGTCGGCCACATGACCAAGGAGAACTCTTCGGACAGCGCTGGCTCTTCGGCTTGGAAACGGAGATAAGCACCACAACCCTAGAGTCGGATTCGACTGGCTTTCGAGCAAGGGAAACCTTTACCTTTACTATAAGCTATTGCAAAGGATTTTCTGGAGGCTAGACACACCACCACACAGAGTTTTTTCCCTGTCACAATCTCACCCCAACCTCCCTGCACTGGGACTCCCAGCAAGATTTTTAAAATGTCCCAGGGAATCGAATCCGGGCCCTGGGTATAATAAACCCACTCAAGCCTGGACTGAAGGTAGAAGGACAAGGAAGAAAACTGAGGGGGGGGGAAGTGGTTTACTCTGTAAAAATAAACACAGTTTACTGAGCAAGGAACCCAACTGCTGAGGAAAATGCAATCGACCAGGAATTGTGGCATTTTAAGTTTCAAATTCAAAGCGTTCACACCAGTGTTCCCTCTAAGCTGAGTTAGTGTGAGCTAGCTCACAGTTTTTTAGCCTCCGGCTCACACATTTTTGTCTTCGCTCAGGAAGGATGGACTCCAGAGCAAACTAACTTATGCAGTGTCCAAATGGCTCGCTCACAACTTTAATGCCAGTAGCTCACCAAGTAGAATTTTTGCTCACAGGACTCCACAGCTTAGAGGGAACATTGGTCCACGCCAAGGAATACCTCCTCTCAGGCAGGTTTGTAACATATAAGTCCAACAGAGGCATCTCCCCGTTGGGCCTTCATGTTCCAGTTTCATTTCCCTTTGTTGCTCGGTTTTCCCTTCTCTGAGGTTTGAAAACATCAAGGGATTGCTAACGAAACTGTGTAGAGATGGGGGGGGGGGTGACAAAGGGAAATGAAACTGGAACATGAAGGCTGATTGGAAAACACCCAACTTACCTCCCAGGCGCCGCAAACACTGCTGGACTCTCCTGTAACATTTCTGTTGCCCACACAGGAGAACTCAACCCAAATATCTGGTCTCTCCACTTCGCTTTAATATACACTCTTGTCAAACTGGCCTTTTTCTCTCTGACTCCCAGCCCGCAAAAACCTAATTGACTACGGGCCAAAGTAGACGGTGTACTATGGTGCTGGAGACGACTCTTGAGAGTCCCTTGGACTGCAAGAAGATCAAATCAGTCAATCCTAAAAGAAACCAACCCTGACTGTTCCCTGGAAGGCCAGATAATGAAACTGAAGCTCAAATACTTTGGCCACCAAATGAGAAGGGAGCACTCCCTGGAGAAGAAGGCCCTGATGCTGGGAAAGACTGAAGGTCAAAGAAGACGGGGACGGCAAAGGATGAGACGGTTAGACAGTGTCATGGATGCAACGAACATGAAATTGAGCCAACTTCAGAGGACAGCGGAAGACCAGAAGGCCTGGCGTGATCTGGAACATGGGGTCGCAAAGAGTCGGACTTGACTGTGCTACTGAACAAAAACAACAAAGTAGACGGTGCTACTACTGCCTCCCTGAATCCACCACAGGGAAGCTGCACCATTTCAAAGCCTTTGGTGTTTTACTTCTAAAATCACCACTGGGGCCCCGATCCAGCTGGGGACCATGGTGTGTGTGGGGAGGGGCTCCTGCCTCCCCCCCACTCCGTCTTCATGTTTTTCAAGGAAATGGGGTGGGGGAGAGGGAGAGACAGGAGCCCCTGATCCCCCCACTGTGGCCCTGTGGGGATTTTAACAGTTTGGAACCGTTCTAAAATGGCACCATGACCCCACGGTGGATTTGGGGACACGGTACTGTAAAGTACTGGGTTCGCCGCATGGAGGACTCGGACGACGACATGCTTTCGCACACATTTATTGTACTTCACCCCAACTAAGACTAATTGTAATGGCCCGACAGGGCCAACTATATACATATCCACCCAGCACCCCCTATTCCCATTGGAGGGTTTGAATGTCCCACCAAAGTGGCGATTGGTTGGGGCTGGGGGAAACCAGGATCCAAAGTTTCCTTTGTTCCAGGGGCCAAACTCCTGCATGTGCCGCAGACCCCTGGTGGCGGTCCACGTACATAACAGGTGCCATCGAGTTTGGCCCTAGAGCTCCCCCTCTTTCTCACACCACAGTCCCTATTGGCTTGTTCAGACTGCTACTCCTGCTCTCATTGGATCCTGTGTTGCTAGGGGATATGTCTTCAGGGTGCAGTATCGTCTCCATTGGCCCTCAGTCAATTGAGTTTTTGCGGGCTGGGAGTGAGAGAAAAAGGCTAGGAATTAAAGCTAGGTGGGCAAGGGATGCGGTCTTCTTGGTGCTTGGGGGGGGGCTTCTAGTGTCCTGGCCCCACCGCTGGCCCTCCTGATGGCCCCTGGTATTTTTGGCCACTGTGTGACACAGAAGAGTGTTGGACTGGATGGGCCACTGGCCTGATCCAGCATTGGCTTCTCTTATGTTCTTATGTTCTTATACCAGATCTTTAGGCTGAGTTCTCCTGTGTGGGCAACAGAAATGTTACAGCAGGCTAGCAGTGTTTGAGGCGCCTAACAGGTAACTTGGGTGTTTTCCAGTCAGCCTTCATTTTCCAGTTTCATTTCCCTTTGGTCACAGATTCCTTCTTAACTTGAAAAGACATGTTGCATTTTAATAATATGAGATAAGGAACAGACAAAAGCTGTGATTCTGGGAGAATTCCGGGCCGCACATTGAGATTGGTGACCCAATTGTTGTTGTTTTTTCTGGTTGCAGCTTTCCTTCTTTCCCTCCTCTTTGCTCCATCGGACTGGTGCCTGAAGAAAAGACACGTCCAGCGGCTCACTGCTCTGCTAGCCACCCTGAAGAAATCTAGGGACTGACAGGGGGCACACCCTGCATATGCACCTCCCTCACAGAGACCAAAAGGAATATTTGATGTGGGTGTACGTGCAGAACAAATCCAGGACATCTGGATCAAGATTTTGAACATCTGGGTGATTAGAGAAGCAGGCTTGTATGAAGACAAACAGGTTGTTGTAAATGCATGGCTCAGTCTGGGATCTTTTCTGGAGACATGATCCCTTCTGAAAGAAACAAGATGGACAAAAGTTCTTTAGCGTGAATTTGGCCCTGATAATGAGGCCTTGTTTAGCACACTAAAAATGCAATCTTATGCAGAGTCAGTCCAGCCTAAGCCCACCGACCTCAGTGAGCATAAACTGGAAGAACTCCACTTAGAGTTGCACTGGGACTCTGTCTTATTCCATTGCGGTTTGACTCTGATGTGAGGCAGTTTTCCAGGCCTCAGGTAGTGAGGTCTTCTTTATCATCATCTACTTGATTGTCTAAACCGGAGATGCTGGGGACTGAAGTACTGCTGGGAACATATTTAGGGCTGGTCCCTGGCTCAGTGGTAGAGCATCCACTCTGCATGAGGTCAAAATGGACGGTCCACCACGGAGCCATGGCCCACCCCCTAAATATGCTGGAAGAGGCAATGTTGAGTGTACAGAGAAGAAAAGAAGACCCAGAAGGGGGCAGCAAGGAATGCTCCCTCTAAGCTGTGGAGTCTTGTGAGCAAAAATCCTACGTTGTGAGCTACTGGCATTAAAGTTGTGAGCGAGCGATTTGGCTACTGCATAAATCAGTTTGCTCTGGAGCCCTCCTTCCTGAGCTAAGAAAAAAATTGTGTGAGCTGTAGGCTAAAAAACTGTGAGCTAGCTCATACTAACTCAGCTTAAAGGGAACACTGGCAGCAAGGATTCCTTTAGATAGGGCAGTGAAGTGAGCACCTCCTCTCCTGTTGAGTGTCATTTCTTGTCTGTCTCCGGAAGCATACTGGGCCCGTAACCCCTGCTGGCAGAGTAATTAACCCAGCAAAAGTGCACAACCTGAATAAAGCTTTACCTACACTTTAATCAGGTTATGTACCTTTGCTGGGTTAATTACTCTGCCAACAAAATATTGTGCAGCATGGGCCTAATCTGTTGCTCTTGAGGAGCAGACTACCAATTCATATATTCTGTGTCTTTCTGCAACTGGATCCATTCCAAAGTAGTATACTAAAAGTTGTGATTAATCTGGCTCCATCCTAACAATTAAGTCGATGGCAACACAGAAGCATTTGATCATATGCTGGAAAAAATTATATGCCTCTGAAACCAATAATGGAAATGAGTGAGGCCACTATAACAACACATCTGGAAGTGGGCACTGTGGAACTCCTCCAGATTATTCTCAGTAGAAACTAGATGATGTTTAATCACAGGCTCCGGAACTCACCCATTAGTGAGTGAACAGAACTATGGAAAGGGTGTACCACAACTGGTGAGATGTCTCGAATGAGATGAGGAACAAGCTTGGCTAGGAGGA